CTCCAATTATAAATCCGAAAAAATAGAATATATTTCAAAAAACAGGTTCCTATTTCTTGTTCATTTTACTTTCATTCCTTTTTTCTATCCTTTACTATTAATTACAAGTCTAGGATATTGGAAATAAAATGATAAATTGGTCAAATTATCTTTCTACATATATATATATATATAGAACCCATATCTCTGCGTGTTGAATTAATATAGAATCTTATAACAGTTGTGCTACAACTTTTCATCTGGTTAAAGATTCAAATCAATTAAACTCCAAAGACTCGCTCTCGCACAAATCCGATATATATATACCGCATCCATCAGTTTTATATATCTTTTTAAACCTCGAGACTGGTTTTCGAGTTTTAATCATTTCCGTCCGACATTTGCATGATCCCTATATGTATAACCAAGAGCCTATACACAAAGTCCGGAGGCATGAGTCGAAAGGAAAGAGAGAAAAAGAAAGAGAGAGAGATAAGTCCCTGAAAATTGGCTCTCTTATGCATCATGAAGGGCCCCCCGAGACTATGCGCGCACAGTCGGCTTCGCGAAGAGAGATGATGGATCAGCATGCTGGCCGCCTTTTCGACTTGTTGTTCATCTTTTTCTTCAATATATATATATACCTTGTTCTCAAGACGAGAGAAGAGAAATTCTCTCAAGAAGAAGAAGATGAGATAAAGTAGAAGAGAGAAAGAAGGTAAAGGAAACTTGCAGACTTTGTAGGCAATATAACTTTGGATGTTAGTTATTGGAAATCTGAAATACTAGGAATTTCAAACAATAGGCATTGTTTGTGTAACTCGTTCACTGGAATAGATTTCAATAAAACTCTCCTTCTCTCTCTCTCTCTCTCTTTTCTATATATATTTAGCAAACATAGAAGTAATTCAAAATGTCTAAGGAATAAATTATGAGCCATGTCATCTTAATAGTACCACTAAAGAAATGGATCAGCGTTTAAAGAGTCAAACGATGGGTGAATTAAGTTAAATTATTATGCCCAAGTTCTGTTTTATTTACACACAAAGAAGTGACACTCTTTTAAATCACAATCAATTACGAAATCATTTAATATTTGACATTTATGTGTTCTAAATTGAATATGGTATTTTGAGATAATTTCATAGGGCAAGAATAAAGAATTATTTGCTAAAGAGAGAAAGAAAGGGAGAATTATTTTTCTAAACTCTTTTCTCTCTCTCTACCCATCAATTATTATATTTTACCCTCGACAGATATCAGGCAAAATGCTATTAATACTTGCGGTGTCTATGGACCGAAAATGTGTGCGGGCGAGGAGGAGGCGGCGGCCTTCCTCTAAAACGAGTTTGAAAAACAAACAAATCACTCCTGATGCCTGTATGTCTATAATCTATAATGTATAATGAAGGTAGAGCAATAATCTATTTGGAAATTTTTGCAAATTATTCATCAGAATTTGTTTCTTTATGAGAAAGATATTTTTTGATTAGAATCTGTTTCTGTATACGAGAAACAAGATTTTGGATTGTATCTCTTTCTGTATGTGAACAAGTTTTTGGAATCCGGTTATAAAGGAACAACAATTTTTTTTTTGAGTTAGAAACACTTTCTGCGACACTTTTTAAAAGCTGAATTAAATTTTAGAGGCAAAATCAGTTTTTTTAACCCAATCTTTTGCCAAACAGAATTTTAATTTCGTGTAGGATAACTAAATTTTAGAGGAAAATCAGTTTGGGTGCAACAATTTTTTGATTAGAAATCTTCAATTAAAATAACTTTCTGTATCAATAATTTTTGAACCAAAATTTGTTTCGCTAAATGAAAATTAACATTTGGATCAAAATCTATTTTCGTACCAACAACAATTCGGTGACATTAATCCGTTTCTGTTCGAAAATTACCCTTCGATTCAAAATCAGTTTCTGTACCAACAATTTTTCAACTAAAATCAATCCCTAAAAATTACTATCTCTATACCAATAGCTTCTGTACCAGAATCAGTTTCCGTACAAAAATTAATCTTTGGATGAAAATCCTTTTCCAAAATCACTTTTTGCTCTAAAATCAAATTCTGCAATTGAAAACAATTTGGATGATAATCAGTTATTTACGTATATAAAATCCCATACAGCAAAAAGTGATTTCTTTTTCTATTTTAAAAAGAAAAACAACTTGATTCTCGTTTGGTTGTGTCCCGTGGCGGGATTAATCGAAAGATATCCCTCTGCCTACCTCTATATATATAAGCATGCAATCGCGATGTTGCATTTTGTGAGGGAATTTACATTGAAATGCAAAAAGAGTAGGGATAACAATCTGGCAACAGTGTTTTGACTCCCCTCGTGCCGCTAACGAGCCTTTGACTCCCCATCCTGATTCACCTCTTGTTCCCCTTTCCTTCAACCCATTCCGTTTATGTTGAGAGGCTCATCTTAGCGCTTCTAACGGGTGGTCCCTCAACATACAAGAAAGGTGGATGAACGATTCTCTCTCTTTCTCTCTTTTTTTTCTTGGGTAATTGTACGCTTCCAGCAAACATAAAATTATACAAGCACTGATTTACGTTTATATATATATATATATCTACTTCAATTTACTCTATAAAATTTAACTTTGCTTTTCCATTACACACATACGTAACGCAAATTGTCTCACTTGTTACTGCGCCTTCATTTCGCAATCAAAAAACGGCAACCTTGTTACATCTTTTTAGATTGGAAATGATTTTTGATAATTATAATTTTTTTAGGGTTGGTAAATTAAGGTAAGGAACACCCGTTAGAGAGCAAGCAACCTGTGTGAGAGAGATACTCTAGGAACCTTGTTGCCAGATATATATGCATGGAGTCAATCGCATTCCGACATATAGGGCGTGAGATATACGAGAAGGGAAGAAAGCTTGTCACAAATTTTATACGCCTTTTTTTTCTAATCACTAAATTTTACGCTAAAATATTTTAAAAAAATTTACAGAACGTAATTGTAGTTGATTTATATTTTGATAATTTGGAAAAAAAAACAATTTGTTTTGGAAAATAAAAGAAATTTTCAATTAGAATTAAATTTTTTTCGAATTTTAAGTTATAAATTGTTGTATTTATGGGAAATTTAATGAAAAATAATGTTTTTTATTGCTTGGAAGTAGTGTGCGCATGTCCTGGATGAGCAGAAATACTGTGCGCAGGGTACAATTGCGCCGTGGTGTTCTGCGCAATGTACATATGCGCAGAAGTGTTCTACGCATTCTGAGGCTGCGCAATAGCCAGCAATAACACATGTGCGATAGTATTCTAAGTGTATGGATGACTCGGCTAGGCCTAAAGTCATTTAAAAAGAAGAAGAAGGATGCGCAGTAGTGTTTTACGCAATGTACAAATGCGATAGCAGATAATAATTTTACAGAACGTGATAAAACTTTAGGATTCTAATTTAGAGTTTATTTTCAAATTGGTGATTACAAGTTACAGCGTCTAAAAATACTAATTTTTTCATAGTAATTACTTTTTCTTCTACTGTTATTTAAATAATGCTCTTTTTCGATTCCTCCAATTTTGAACTGAAAATCCAACTAGAAATTCGATATGCTAAAACAAAGACGTTTCTGTTTAAACACATACGGATTTTTTTTTGCCTCATGCTAACAAGATGACTTTTTTTACATTCCCAAAAGGGCAGAGTTTAAATTTCTCTTTCCCTCTCATATTGTACAGATTTCGAATCTTGGATACTTAAAAATACCCAGGTGACTGTATAAGAGGTTAAAGAAGGCAAAGAAGAGAGACAAAAAAAAGTAAGAGCCTCGAAAAAAAATAGCAAACGAGAGAGAGGAAAAAATATTGGATGGAAGTAAACAAGGAGAGTATCTGGTTCTCGAAAGGTAAAAGAGGTAGGGAGAAGCGAGGAATCAGAAAATGGGGAGAGAGGGAAAGAGTTAAGGAAGAGGACAATGCTTGGGAGTGCCTATAGGGGTCCATGGACCATGGCTTCGTGTCCGCAGGGCGCGATGTTTATCGGCTCTTTGGATGTAAATTATGACCCAACATTCTGTGTTGCTCCGATATATATATATATACTAGGATGCAGAATACAGGAGGCGAGCAAAAAATAATACACACGGTACGCCCTTTTTTCTTCGTTATAATATACCTTGTATTTGTACTCCACATATATATATAAATGCAAAAGAAGCATGCAGCATAATCCTCAACAACGCTACTTTATTACCTCTGGTTTCATAAAAAAAACAGCGAAAACAAAAACAAACATCTGAAAATTAACCTTGTTTCTTAATTTTAAAGGCGTGAGTAAATAAATCCGTTACGGATATGAGCGGAAAATAATTAAATTATACCGACATACTTATTAACTCGATGGTAACAAGCTTAAGGGAAAGTGATTTTGATTGAAATTTTTTGGTTCTAATTCTAAAATTTTTGTTAAAAATTAATGGGACTAAAAAAATTAGAAAGTGATTTTGTTTCTAGACTGATTTTGATGTGAAGATTAATTATGCTAAAGAAACTGATTCTTATTCAAATTCTGCTGTTGGTTTACGAAACAGATTTTTTGAAATTAATTTTCTGTTTTTGGAATCAAAATTTGTTTCTTTACCAACAGCATTTTTTTTGGATTAGAATCAGTTTCTGTATATGCAGACTAAACTTTGGAGCAAAATCAGTTTGTTGTACTAACAAAAATTTTTGGCTTAGAATTAATTTTATGATCAAAATCTTCAGTAGTATAATGATCAGTACCCTTATAATTTTTAGGTTTTAATTTCAAAATCTTCAGTAGTATAGTGAGCAGTATCCCCTTTTCCAAAGGGTTCTAATTAAATCTTCAGTAGTATAATGATCAGTACCCCCAAAATTTTTGGGTTCCAGTTTCTAAAATCTTCAGTATAATGATCAGTACCCTTATAATTTTTTTGGCTTCTATTTTCAAAATCTTCAGTAGTATAGTGATCAGCATCATCCATTTCATTTCCTAGTACTAAATATCAAAAAAAATTTACTCACCAAACACTCGCAGCACCGCCAAAATAGTAGAGCATCAAAAACACAATTGCACAGTACGGATTGTCCAGACCGTCTTGAGTGAGATATTGCTGTTGATGTTGTGCAATGATCACTTGATCTTGATGAGAGTGCAAAGGAATTGCCTGTGTGCACGCGACAGCTACTCGTCCAGCAGCTAATCGAATCACGTAACCAACAGCGACAACCGCATGGCATACGGCCAAACAAGTTATGGCTTTCTCTGCAAATCAAAAAAAAATTTTTTCCTAATTCAAAATTTTTACCAAAAAACTAAAATTCTGTATTTATGTAATTCTGTAATTAAGATTTTGTATTATACAAATTTGAAACTTACCGGCTGTATTTGTAGTTCCGTATTGTTTTCGTGGTTTTAATGCAGTGAATATTGCCACGGCAACTGAGAAAAGGCAAACGGTTGCAAATGCTGCGGTCCATGCCTCGGCGATTTTCTTATCCCTTTGTGACCAAAGAATATCGGCATCGCAAGCGGCCGCACATCTCCCCGAGCGATTCAAAAAGATGTAGAGACCCGATTTGGCGTACCACGAACAACCCCAAGGTCCATTGCCGGCTCCAATCGTCTACGGAAGAAGAGAGAAAGAGAGCCGCTTCATTAAGTAACTCCTGATGTATGAGGGTCATGGAAATGTATTCTTAACTACGGTTCAGTTCTAAATTTATCGCAAAAAAAAGCAGGGCCACTATTTTTCATTTTCTACTATCAATATTCTTTTTTTTTTCATTTAAGAAAAAATTTTTTCCACAGTCTTCTTTAAAAACAAGATCTTCTTGTTAGGAATTGATTTTATCGCTAAAGAAGAATTAACGAGCAGCTGAGACATAAAAAAAATTAGTTACCTGAATGGGAATCGCAGGTCCAGGTTCACCGGGTCCCTCCATACACATGTGTTGATGATTATTTTGCGGTGGAAATTTGGAACAATTTAAAGCCGCTGGCCAAGGAAAACCAAAACCTTGAAGTACTGGATAGCAACGGGCACGAACTTGTTCACAAAGTCCACGGCATGGTCCAATTGGTGATGGTACTTTTTCCGTGCACATTGGAACGTAAACAGAACACAAAAACAGATGTAATTGAGCGCTGAAAATAAAACAAAAAATATTATTTACATCAGTAGAAGAAAAAGAAACAATATTATTTATATCAGTAGAAGAAAAACAAAAAATGTTATTTATATCAGTAGAAGAAAAAGTAACTTTGATAAAAAAAAATGTTTTGGAAATTTGTAATTTAATACCTTCCATTGTATTTTTACGCAAAAAGTAAGAAGAAGAAGGAAAGTGTGTAAAATTTTGAATAATTTGAAGAAAGAACCCGAACTCGTTAGGTTAAAAATTGTCCGAGATATGCTTATCGGAAAAAACCCGGTTTTTTTAAACAAAAAACCGGTACGTTTTAGTTTAGCGAGTTTTACGCTTTTCCTAATCAATTTTCGAAAAAATGGCCAATTGAAAAGTTATAGCTGACGAAATTCTGGAGAATTTGCAAAAAAATAGAAGGTCATAGCTCTAATAGTTTCCAAGATACCGTCTTTCAAATTTGACCCTTTTTTCGAAAATCAAGGAAAAAAGTGTTTTTTCCAAATAGCACATCACGGACAATTTTTAAGCTAAATGGTTCTATATTTGTAAATTACTCAGAATTTTATAAACTTCATTTCTTCTCCTTACTATTTTTACGTGAAAATGTAATATGAGAGGGAAAATTGCAAAATACTGATTATTTGCATAAAAAAATTACGATTTTCAATTGAGAGAGTTCGTTGTATGAAAAACATATCATTTTTATTTTTAAAAATTTTCTTATGTCTGTTAAAAAAACATTTTATATTTATAATACTATGTCTGGTATTCTAAAAACAATTTATGGAACACGAGGCGTTCTTAAAATGTCATTTATAAAGCAGACATGTGCGCCGATGTGTTCTAAGAAAGTTTTAGAAATTGTAAAAACAAAAACAATGATTTCACTTATTCGTAATATTACTCCGAGGGTTTTTGGAGTCGTTGATTACAAATTCGATGTTTGTTTTTCAAAATTCAAAATGGCAACCTCAGAATGGCAGACTAAATTTTTAAAAATTGCATGAAATTGTTAAAAATTTGTGTGTTTTAGGGGTCGCTTTTTACGAATATGCCATCGGTTTTACATAATTCAAAATGGCGGATCCAATATGGCGGAAATTTTTTTTTAAATCTTTCAAATTTGCTTGAAAATCTCTATTCGGGGGGTTTTTGGGCTCGCTGATTACGAATTCGAAGTTAGTTTTTCAAAATTCAAAATGGCGGATGCAATATGGCGAATTAAATTTTTACAAATTACATGAAATTGATTAAAATCAGTTACTCGGGAGTTTTTGAAATCGCAGATTACGAATCCAAGGTCTGATTTTCAAAATTCAAAATGGCGGAATCAAAATGGCGTCAATTTTTTTTCGAAAATTGTCCAAATTCGCTTGAATTTTGTTATTCGGGGGTTTTTGGGATCGCTGATTACGAATTCGATGTTGTTTTGCAAAATTCAAAATGGCAGAAACAAAATGGCGTCAAGTTTTTTTTTGAAAATTGTTCAAATTCTCTTAAAACTTGTTACTTGAGGGTTTTCAAGGTTGTTGATTAGGAATTTGATGTTAGTTTTTCAAAATTAAAAATGTCGGATCAAATATGGTAGAATAAATTTTTAAAAATTGCATAAAATTCCTTAAAACAATAAAAAATACATATGCAAAAAAAGAAGTTATAAAAAATCACATTACCTGCATCCGTATTGAATTAAGGGACTAAATGTCTGCAATGTAAATTCAGCATCACCCTGAACTTCATGACCAATTAAATTTGGCATTGCTGTTACATTATAACCAAGTCCCCGGCACATTTCTATTCTAATTGGTTCACATGCACCGTGTGCACCCCAAATTGTTCTCACTGACATTAACACTATTAACCACCACATTTTGATTTTTCGAAAAATCCTAACCTCAAGAAAAAATCAAAATCACATAAATGCACTCTTTTTTTTGGCGGGATTATTATTCAACACTGTTGTTTTCGACTCACGCACAAATTCTATTTAACATATTTTAGTCGGTAGTGGCGCGGTACGGCGGCAACTTTGATTTCTTCGAAACAATTTACATTCACTTGTGTATTCAATTCACTTTTTTTTTTGCTGTAACGAGTTTCTTTTTTTTTCAATTGTAGAAACTAGACACGTGCGTCAAAGTAAAAAAAAAAGGTCCATTCAAATGGAAATAAAATTTTGTAACAAAAAAACTTTAGAAAAAAATTCGCGGTTATTGGGAATTATAAAAAGAAGATGAATTTTTGATTACGTTTGGGAATCACGATGATGAGGAGGAAATAGATATTTATTTAAATAAATGTGTGGTGATTGGTCGAGGTGAGCTCGACACATGATTATAACGAATCGAGTGCAAATGTAAAAAAAAAATTTAAAGCCCTCTTCACTCAACGACTATTCACGAGATACTGAAGTTGAGTTGGAAGAGCAGCAGCAGCAGCAGCAGCTTTCGTTCGACCTTAAAGCCCGCGTGTATCCCAGCCCCCTAACTTTGATAATTGCATTCCACCTTTACACAAACACAACACCTGGGCGTTGCGACTCCAGCGCCATCAGGCAGGGAAATTTTGAAGCTTCATTAGATTTTTTCTACCGATAGTTTAGATATAGAATTTTGATGATATTTTGTAAGGCAACATTTTAATTATCGACACACGGTATTTTAGAATAATAATTTTCAAAAAAAAAAATTGGTATTGTAAACGTAGCATAATTTAATCGAAAATTATTATTGGAGAAAATTTTAATGCATCAATGGATTAAAATTTTGTCCAATAATAATTTTTGACAAAATATTTGTATTGTGAACACAGCTTAATTTAATCGAAAATTATTATTGGACAAAATTAAAAAAATAATAATTTTTTAAATCAGAGATCGGTAGGTTTAAAAATTTTGTCCAACAATAATTTTCGATTTAATTAGACTGTGTCAAAATTTTAAAATACACAAAATGGGTAGATTAAAAAATTTTTGGCCAATAATAATTTTCAATGTAATTAGGCTATATTCACAATATTAACATTTTTTCGAAAATTATTATTGGACAAAAAATTTCAATCTTATCCAACATTGTATTGAAAATTTTGTCCAATAGTAAATTTTCGAAAAATTTTGGTATTGTGAACACAGTCTAATGGAAAATTTTCGAAACTTATTATTGGACAAAATTTAAACCAGAGATGGATAGGTTTAAAATTTTGTCCAACAATAATTTTCGATACAATTAAGCTGTGTTCACAATAAAAATATTTTTCAAAAAATTATTGTTGGACAGAATTTCAATTTCAATTTTTTGTCCAGCTTTTTTGGAAAAAAAATTTCAATTTTCCAAAATTTCGACACAAATATTTTTTTTCATTAAATTCAAATTTTCCCGCCACATCTACATTATTCTCAATAGCGCCTACAGAACACTACCCTATTAACAGGGTTCCAAAACCCTAACATTAATTATCATTTGCAGCTATAACGGTAAACTGTGACCTCATCATTGAATCGTCATTCTCTTTTTAATTTTTATTTAATTCAAGACTAAAATTGAGTGTTTCAGAGTTAGCCAGTAGAGACGATTCCCTCACAAATCGCGTATATATATATGATCCATTCTCTTGTCCTTTTTATTATTTGTTTTAGACTATTTCAAAATTTGAAATAAAATTTCAAAAAAAAATTAATAAACATTGCCTATAATTACGAATAAGAAATGTCGTTTTTTCTAATTTATTTAAAAATGCTTTCATAACAACGCACACAACAAACAACATATATACATTCAACACAAAAGCGATATGCTAAAATAAGTAAGTTTGAAACAAAAAAATTTTTTAAATAAAATTTCTTTTTCTCTCTAAGATGTTGGAAAATTCTCACTTTCTAATCTTTAAATAGTAGGGCCTTAAATTCCTCTCGCATACTTTACAGAAACAGGTTTTTTTCAACAAATTTTTTCTATTTAAAAAGAAAACATTTTTCTAAAAAAAAATTATTTTTCTAAAATAAATTTTTGAAATTTTAATTTTTTTTGAAATTAGGACTAGTTGAAAAATATTTTTAGGTTAAGTGCGTGAACGCTAAAGTGTTTGTGGTAAATAAATGTAAATGCGACAATAGAATGAAATAATTGTGAAAAATGTAACATTGTTGAAATTTAAATTAGATTATTATAAATTTTAATGAAATTCTAATTCCGTTTTTTTTTCATTAAGTTTTTTTGTGACCTGTTTTTTTTTCTTTCATTATTCCCTTATATAAGGATTGATAAATATGTAACTACGCGATTTAATATTATATTGTATGATACATAATAGGAATTTATTTAACAAATGACTTTGAATGTCAACATTAGTTAATGAGAAGGTTACATTTTTTTTATCATCATATACTATTATAACGTTTCTTTTGTTTATTTTTATCGGGAGAAAAATTTTTTTTATCTATTTAAATAAATATATTAAAAAATAATTTTTCTAGAAAAAAAGTTTTAAAAGTTTAAAAAAAATTTAATTTAAATTTTTAAATACTGGTTGATGTAGGGAGAGTAATAAACTATATTTAAATTTATATTACATTATATTATATTACATTTTATTATATTATATTATATTGTATTATATTATATTATATTATGTTATATTATATTATATTTCCCCAAAAACAACATTATAAAAAAGCACATTGGGGTCAGAAATGCAAAATAAGGGTTAATTGTATAAAAAATGGGGTTAAATATTTTTTTATGAAAAAAATTTTTTTTCTATCCGAAAGTACATGAAAAACCCTTCAAAAAATCCTATTTACAAATTAAAATCCACAAACTTCTCTTAAAGAAATATAGGTTAGAAAATGCCAGTGCTTCTTAATTTTTAATTCACTATCATATTCTGACCAATATATCTTTAACATAAGTTTATGGATTTTAATTTGTTACTAGGGTTTTTTACAGGGTTTTTCGTGTACTTTTTAGTGAAAAAAAAATTTATTAAAAAAAATATATATTTAACCCCTTTTTTCAAAAATTAACCCTTATTTTTTATTTTTTAACCCATTTTCCTGACTTTTATTTTTTTTTCTTTTATTTATTAAAAAACTGAAAATTTTACCTATAAACTACGTAAATATAAAAATAAAACAGTATATTTGCGGAAAAACTTGAAGAAACAAAAAAAAATTGTTTTATTTTCATATTTTCTCGAAAAATATTTTTATAATTATTTATATTTACATAGTTCATTGGTAAAAATGTCAATTGAAAATAAAATAATAATTTCAATGCAGGAAAAGGTGTTAAAAATGCCAAAATAAGGATTAATTTCCAAAAAAAAATGGGGTTACAAATTTTTTTTGGAAAAATTTTTTTTTCCACTCAAAAGTACACGAAAAACCTTTCAAAAAACCCTATTTACAAATTAAAATCCATAAACTTCTCTTAAAGATATTTAGGTCGGAATATGACATCGAATTAAGAAACATTTTAAAGATGATATATTCCGACCCAAATAACTTTAACACAAGTTTACGGATTTTATTTTGTAAATAGGGTTTTTGGTAGGGTTTTTCATCTACTTTTTACTCCAAAAAACCGTTTTACCAAAAAAAAATTTTAACCCCATTTTTTTACAAAATTAACCCTTATTTTGCTTTTTTGAGCTTATTAACCCTCTCTTAAAAAAATTTTTTAATTTTTTTTATAAAAATATTTTTTTCCAGGTATAAAAATATGTCAACGATTTGCAAAAAAAATTTGAAAAATGTTTTTTTTTAATATTCAAATATAAATACGCACTCATGGACTTTGAACGTCACTTAAATTCATTTGAGTTACAACATATCGTCAAGTGCAAAGTCACCAATGTTATGTCATCATAGATCAATGATTTTTGTCGTTCTTTTTTTAGTTTCTTTCATTAATTTTGTATATCTTAACAAATTTATTCATAATAACATTGTACAAATATCATAATATTTTTATGATTTATTTTTTTCCTCTTTTTTTTGTCGAATAATCAATATTTATATTTGTTGAAAAATTATCATAAACTATGAAATCGTAAATGCGCAAAGAAAAAAAAAAAAATCTTTTAGAAAAAAAATGAATTTTAAACATTGCTATGTATAATATTTTTATTATTATTATTAATATAATTATTATTAAAATATAATTTGTATATTTATAAATAATTATTAAAATTATTTTATTATTAATAATAATAAATTATTTATTAATTTATAATTAATTTATAATGTATATATTTATAAACTTTGTTTTTTTTTTTGCTTTTCAGAGAGACTGAATTTCAAAAACAAAAAAAAGTGCACAAGATCCCGTTAAAAAAATGGGTATACTTATGAAATTTAAAGAATCTCGAGTAATACATTTATTTTTTGCCATTATTTTTTTTACTTCCGGCCTGATAATTAATTTATTTCAATTCATTTTATACATTGGATTACGACCAATATCAAAATATATGTATCGTAAAATAAATTATTACTTGTGTTATTCATTTTACAGTCGTAAGTATAAATTTTTAATTAATTAATTAATTAATTTTTTTTATCATTTTATATTATTTAATTTAATTCAAATATATTTATTTATTTAGAATTTATTATATTATAATATATATTTTTATTAATATAATTATATATTTTTATTATATTTTCTAAATAAATTTCTAAATAAACAAATAAATGCTTATTCTTAATAATTAATAAGCGATAATAATTTGTTATCAAAAAAAAAAAGTTTAATTATATGTATGAATAGTCATCGTTTTTTTTTGTCACACACATTATTTTTATAACGCTGATTAAATTCATTGAGGAATTTTAATATTTACGTTAACTTTCACGTTGATAAAAATAATAATAATTTTTTTTATTTCGTTTTTTTTTTGTTTATCGCATATTGTACAGTTTGAGTAAAAAAATATTTATTTTTAAATTTATTATTTATGAGGTTGAAGTTTTTTTTTTGTTGAAAATATTAACATTTTTAATTGTAAATCTTTATTTATTTGTTTAAAAAAAAAAAAATTATTTTTCAGAGCTAGTTTTTATGACAGCATGGTGGTCTGATACGATACCAATTATTTACGCTGACAAGGAAGAATATGAAAAATATTTAGGCAAAGAACATGGATATTGTATTATGAATCACACATATGAAATTGATTGGCTGGTCGGTTGGGTATTCACTGAGCCAATCAACATACTTGGAGTAAGTATTTTAATAACAATAATACAAAAAAAATTAAAAAATTAATAAAAAATTTTTAAATTAAAAAAAAATAATTATAATAATGCAAATAATTAAAAAAAAAATTTTAATTAAAAAGAATAGTATATTATTATTATTTATTTTCGTAGGATGTAAAAAAAATTATTATTTTTTTCATTTAATATTTTTTTATATTATTTTAATTAATAAATATAAAAAAAAAATTTTCCTTTGCAGAATTGTAAAGCCTATGCGAAAAAATCAATTCAATATGTTCCAACATTGGGTTGGGCATGGAAATTTGCCGAGAGTATATTTCTTGAGAGAAATTGGGATAAGGATAAAGAAATGATTGGCGTACAAATGAAGGAATTGGCTGATTTTCCCGACGCAATGTGGGTCAGTGGATTTTTTTTTTAATATTATATTTATTTTTATTTAAAATTAAAAATTTTTTTTTCTTTTATAAATATTTAAATAGAAAATTTTTTTTTTAATAATTGGAACATTCCCCCCACACAGAAAAGGGGAGGGGTATTATTAAAAAATGATTGGAGGAAGAGAATATGGTTGTTTGATGTATTAGTAAAAAAAATAGAAAGACAAATTTCTATATAGTTTAACGTCACAAACTCAGACGGTAAAGTCACAGAAAGTAGAGCGATTACCATTGAGTCATAAAAATTTTTTTGTGTTAAATTTTTTTAAATTTTTAAATTTTTTTATTTTCACCATTGCGGTTATATTTCTTTATTCAGTATTATTTATTTATTATTATTTATCTATTATTATTTATTTTTATTATTTATTCATTATTATTTATTTTATTATTATTTTTTATTCTTTTTTTTTATTCATATTTTTTTCTTATATTTAATGATTTAAAAAAATTTTTTTATGTTTCTTTAATTTTTTATTTTAATTTTTTAGTTTGTTCTTTTATTTTATATTGGTTTTTATTATATTTTTTTAATTTTTTTTATTTTGTTTTTTAAAATTTTTATTATGTATATTTTATTATTTATTTATATTATTTTTTTCATATATTTAAATAATAATAATTATTATTATAGTTACTGCTGTTTGCCGAGGGAACGCGTTTCACTCCAGAAAAATGTATAGCAAGTCAAAAATTTGCCAAGGAAAAGGGTTTACCATTATTAAAACATCATTTAACACCACGTACAAGGGGTTTTATTGCAAGTCTACCGAGTATGAAAAATAAAGTTGATGCAATTTATGATGTTCAATTGGCATTTAAATCGAACGAACCGAATAAACCAACAATGAGAAGTCTTCTTCTTGGCAAAAAAGTTCAACCCTATATGTATGTTAGACGAATTCCCTTGTCGGAAGTTCCCGAAGGTGATGAAGCCGCAGCGGAATGGCTTCAACAACTTTATCAGCGTAAGGTAAAGTAGAAAAATTCGAAAAAAATTTTTTTTTATTTTTTTTTTATTATTTTTAATAATTTAAAATAAATTATAAAATACTACCATTTGGTAGTAATGAAAAAAATTAATTAATAAAAAATGAAATACTTAAAAAAATTAATTTTTTAATACAGGATCGTTTATCAGAGAGTTTCAATGAAACTGGTGATTTTTTTAAAACAAGCGGAGTTCCAAAACTCGACAGTATTAAATACAATAGAAGAATTTATCCAGTGATAAATCTTATATTTTGGGCAATCGTCATTTTAGTTCCAATGATGTATTACCTAGTGAGACTATTTTTGTCTGGTTCGACAATCTACTTTTCCATAGGCGCCGGAATCATAGGTCTATGTGAGTATAAAAAAATATTTCCAAATACAAAAAAAATAATTATTATATAAAAAAAATTAATTTAATACAAAAATAGAAGGACAATTTTTTAATTTCCCGCCTAAAACTGACTCTGTTTTACCGACTGGTTATAGATAGGAAACTCAGTCGTTAAAAAATTGTTCTTGTAAATATTAAAAATTAAAAAAAAAATTTTATTGAAAATTGTAATTTAAATTTCAGTTTTCTTGATGATGCACAAAATAATTGGAATGTCTGAAATTAGTAAGAGTTCATCGCACTATGGCTCAGCCGAGGCACAAAAAACAAAGTGAAAAAACTCCCTTTTTCACTAAAAAAAAAAAAAAATAAAATAAATCAAATTTAAAAAGAAGAAGAAAAAATTGCCACTTTTAGCCTCCTAAGGAGGTTAATAATATGTTTTTTTTGGTGAATACACGCCAGAACAAAGCGTAAAAAAACTAATCGTGATGTTTGATATTATATCGCCGATTGTTCACATTGTATACCAAAATTATTTTACAAATTACCTCATACTAATAATAAAAATTACAAAAATTGCTTAAGTTTCGCGCACAAGTAAAAAAAATCACTTTATTATATACTCAAAATATGTTTTTTTTTCATTTTATATAAACTCAAATATAAATATATATTATATTTTTCAGGGGTCAAACGTACTTCCTTTAAAAAAAGAAATGTTGATAGTCTTCTTGGCATCTTATTTTGTACATAACAATTGTTCTTGTTGAATAAATGACTGTTTAATCTCTGGATACAATGTTTCATTTATTTTGTATTTGGTATTTTTTTTAGTTTTTTGTTTAAATTTATTTTTATTTCTTTATTATTTTTTTTTAAATTTAAGTTCGTTTTTTTATTATGTTTTTTTAAATTTTTGTCATTTTTTATTAGCTTTATTATGTTTTTTTTTAAATTTTAATTTGTTTTTATTTTGTTTTTTAATTTTTTTATTATATTTTCTAAATTTTTTATTTTGTTGTTTTATTAGTTTTTATTATGTTTTTAAAATTTTTTATTGTTTTTTTAATTTTTAATTTTTCTTTCTTTAATTATTTTTTGTTTTTATTAATTTTAATTATGTTTTTTAAATTTTTTATTATATTTTTTTCATTTTTTTTAGTTTTATTATGTTTTTTAAATTTTTTATTACGTTTTTTTATTTTTTTTTCATTTTTTTGTTTTGTTTTTTTAGTTTTTTATTATGTTTTCTAAATTTTTTATTTTGTTGTTTTATGTTTTATTAGTTTTTATTATGTCTTTGTAATTTTTAATTTTGTTTTTTGAATTTTTTATTATGTTTTCTAAATTTTTTATTTTGTTGTTCAATTTTTAGTAATTATTGGTTATGTTTTATTGATATAAAAAAAATTTTTACAATGATTATCAAAAACTGGACAAAAATTAAGTAACATGTAAACGGAATAAATATTTTTTTTCTTTTTTAAAAAAAAACACATTTTTTTTCTATTCGAGTTTCCCATCTATGTTGTGTCGATAAAGTAGATTTGCGAAATGCGCGCGAAATTCAAAATTCGCTTCTATTCATTTTTCCCCTCATCACTTTCCATTGATTCAGGACTTGAATGATGTTGTTCCTGATAGCCCTCCCATGGCTTAGCGACATATTTAATCTTTCTTAATTTCCCCCTAGCGTCATAATAGCCATATTGTCCTTTCACTGTTCCGTCTTTTAATTTTTCCTCCAGTCGATATTGTCGATTACTTCTAAAAATAAATCGTTAAAAGCGAAATTGGTATTTTTTTCCAACAACAAATTTATAAATTTAAAGAATTATAAATTATTTATAAATAAAAAAAGTAATAAAATTATTTTTTTTAATTTACATTTTTTTCAATTTTTTACTACTATTTTGAAATTATAAAATAAATTATTAAAACTAATCAATTAATTATTAAAACGTGTTTAATTTTTTATTTGTTCTAATTACCCTTCGCCGGTATCGTAGCCAAAAAGATAAGTTCTCGGTCCCTCGTGGCCTTGAATTTGAAATTCAACTCTATCACCGTCCGGAGATAGTCCAGAAACATTGTTTTTTGTTTTAGTAAATTTATCATCCTCCTCTTCATTATTATTTTCCTCTTCAATTGCAATATTTTCTTCTTCTAATTCCTGTGTTAAATTTTTTTTTAAATTTCCCCTCCATTAGAAAATAAAATTTACCCGAGTTTTCTATCTATAATTTTGTTTCTTATGGCGCACTCACACCTTTTTGGCTGCCTTCCGGCCTGCAGGTTACCATGGCAACGCACGAGTGTGAGTGAGACAGAAAATTTGAATATTCAAATTTTTAAATTTTCTGTCGCACTCACTGTCATGCGTGGCCATGGTAACCTGCAGGCAGCCCAAAAGGTGTGAGAGCGCCTTTACAGGAACGGTAAAACAGTTTAACAGTTTAGGCGGGAAATTTAAAATGTAAAATATTTAAATTTCGCGCTCATCTGTTTTACCGATATTTCTTGAATAACAAAAATTATAGATAGAAAACTTATTTTTAAAATACTATAAAAAAATTTTTTTTCACCTGATTTACATTTTCCGGTGCATGATCACGAATATATGGTGTTCTATCAGAATTTTTAACAATATTATCGTCATTCATTTTGTGATTTTTGTAAAAATTATGATTTTTATAAAGTTCGTTATTTATCAAAATTTTCTCAGGTTTTTTATAAGTACGATAATCACTTGTTGCATGTCCTGGTGGTTCCATAAAATTTTTTGGTACTGGTGGATAAATAATTTTTTTATTTTTTAGCAAAAAATTTCCATTTTTTACAAATACATTTCTATTTTTCGATGGGAAATTTTTAAAATGGGAATTTTTTTTTAAAGAATCCTCATTATTGAACAAAGAATTCCTAGTATTTTTAAAAGAATTTTTATTTTTAATTAATGAATTTTCATTATTTTGAAAAAAATTTTCATTTTTTATTGGTTTTTGAAAATTTACTCTCGTCTCTTGAATTTCATTTTCATTGACAAATTGCGATTCTTTAATAATTTTTTTTGGATTTTCATTATTATTATTATTATTATTATTATTTTCCCGATAATTATTGAAATAATTATAATTATAAAAACCGGGATTTTTGTAAAAATTACGAAATCTATCGGCATAAGGATAGTGATAAGTTTTTGGCGGTGGATAATAAAGGATATGACGTTGTTTTTGTGGTTTATTTTTTAATAAACGATTACGCGAACGTTTTGTAATTAAAAATTCACGATTATTGTCATAATTAATTTTCATTGGTCCGGAAAAATTATTTTTCATTGATGATCTCATTGGTGTGTTATTTAGTGATTTTGTATAAATTTGTGATTTCACTGGTAACATCCAAAAAGTCCAGGAAATAAGCTGCAAAAAAAAAAATTATTTTAAACTTTATTTTCTTTTAGCAAATTTTTTTTTTTTATTATTATTTTCTTTATTGATATTTTTATTAAATTTTTTTTTTGAATTTATTAATTTTTTTGTTAATAAATGATTAATTTTTCAATTATTTGAAAAGCCTGGGAACTTTAAGCCCATTTCACAAGGCAAGGATATTTTTTTCAAATGAGTTTCTCATCTGTGTTACGTCGGTAATGTAGAACTGTATATAGTAGGTAATTTATTATAAATTCGATTAATTTATTATAAATAAATTAAAATAGTATGGAAATTAATTTGATTCAATGAAATAAAATTAACAAAAAAAAAATAATTAAAATAATTTTAAATCAAAATTAATAAAAATAAAAAATACTGAAATTGCATAAAAAAAAATTAATTTACAAAATTTCAAACACAGATATTCCTATGATATAATTTTTTTTTTTATTTAAACTTCCGGATTTAATTCGATGTCGTAATAAAATTGACGACAAAGAAAATGAGAACTAAATTTTTTTTTTTGGGAAAAAAACATTTTTCGAACTTTCACACTTGTGAATATTCGCGCTTCAGTGAATATTCTCATTAAATGTGTTTGGACACGCGCGCGCGTATAAAAGTGCGATAATTTTTTTTTTAATGAAATTTGTATATAGAAAGTTTTTTTTTTTTTTTTAATTTACTATAATCAAATGGAACTATTTGCATCTTCAATGAATTTTTTTTCAGTTTCATTTTTCTCCTTTGTCAATGATAGCAGGAAGTTAATGCTCAGAAATCTTGTGATCACTCGTCTGAATCAAATCAGATCCCTAATACATAATGGCACCGAGTCTAATTTTCTTTCTTATATATATATAGAAATAGGTTCAGTGTCACGTGAAAGTGTCAATTCATTTGTTTATTTAGGAACAATCTTTTTGCTAGTTAACAATTTAAAAAAAAAAATTTTTTATAAACAACAAAATTTGAATAAATATATTATATTTTGGGAAAAAATTATATTTTTTATTAATTAAAAAAAAGAAAAAAAAGTTGATTAAAAAAATAAAAAAACTAAAATAAAAAATTAATTTAGTAATTAAAATAAATAATTGTAAATATTTTTACTAATAAATATATAATTATTTATTTAAATTAAAATAAAAATGATAATAAATTAATTTAATAAATATAATTATTTGAAAAAAATATAATTAACAAAATAGAGAAATATTTTCAGGTGACGTCACACAATCGGTCGGTAAAGTCACATAAAGTAGAACGGTTACCTTTGAGTCACAAAATTTTTTTTTCGTATATTCAAATAGTTAAATGAAAAAAAAATAATATTAATATAAATATAATGTAATAAAATATATTAAAATATATAATAAAATATAATAAAACAATAAAATTTAATAAATTTTGCTACAGAAAATTTGATAGTAAAAAATTTAAATAAATAAATAATTAAAAATTTTGTAAAAAAAATTTAATCAAAATTAATTAAATAAAAAATACAAAATAAAATTAAAAATCTGTTAAGAATTTTGAAAAAAAAATTTAATCAAAATTACTTAAATAAAATACAAAATAAAATAAAATAAAAAATTTGTTAAGAATTTTGAAAAAAAAATTCACGTTTTATAATATAAATCACACACTGCATGTCAAAAATTTTTTTAAATTACAAAATTATGATTATTATTATTTGCACTACTCACAAAATAAGTAAAATACATTTTGTGTTTACAATTGGAAGGAAATATTCAAACTACAGGCTCCATTTATCGGATATGCATCTATGAGCAAACTCTCTCTCCCCTCTCCTTATTCAATTTTCTTTAAGCAGTTTTACTCTTGTCCTTAAACTTTTAAGATCTGTGAAAATTAGTAACAATAATTAAGAAGACGTCGAGCGTGGCATAAAAAGGTGGGAAAAAAAATTGAACGGTAATATTTGACCTCAATATACGTAACACAAACAAATATTTATTATATATTTTATTGTTTTTTTATTAGATATTAAAATTTTTTTTATTTTTAAAATAATAATAATTGTGACGTTGTAAAATTTACAATTTTACAAATCACAAAGGTTTATTTATTTTTCAATATATTAAATCACTTTGCTTTATTATTCCCGAAAAAGATATTTCAACATTAAAAATTTACTAGACGAAATCACATTATAAATTCGAGAAATGGAAAAATATTATTTAATAATAATTTAATATTAAGTATTAATGTCTGTAATCCCTTTTTATTTATGTATTTTTGAGCCAATTCATTAATGAATTCGTAATTAATATTTAAATTTACAAAGATAATGCAACACTCAAATATAAAGAAGCCTTCCAAAAATCATAATAATTTTGAGTATTTCGCCAGGAAACGAAGTCAATGATTTTCTCAAGGTTTTCTTAAATCTTGATATTTTTCTTAATTTCCTGTTTCAGTTGAACACCCTGGCGGATTGTATGATGCGAATGCTCCACGAAATTGGCGAAGCAATCGTGGAACACGAGGTTGAGATTGAAATTTTGTCTCAAATATATAAAAAATGATAAAATATATCGTTAAATGATTGAAACAATAAGATTTATGTTTTTATGATGATTATTGTTTAATAATTATAAAAATTTAATGTTCTTATTAATTTCAATCTATTACAGTTTATTATTAACATTTGTCGATAAAATCAATACAGCCGCGCTTTTTAAAAGGTAGGTGGCAGGACTTTTTTTTCCTTTCCTTAAATAATTCCAGTAATTTTTTTATCAAAAGCAAATCTTATATTTGCTAAACTGAAATATTGGTCAAATAAATGTATTATTTTAAAAGTCTAAATAAATTTTGTGAATTTTTGAATTCTTTGACATCCCGGCAAGAAGTGTGGAATAGAAAAAAATTAAAGTTATCTCATAATCGTATACGAAATTGAAAAATTTTAATTCCATTTAATACCTGATTTTTCAACTTTTTCAAAGTCATCGAAATAAATAAAAAAAAAATTTTTCGAAAAATTAAATTTGCAAAATAACTGCTCCGGAATACCGCCAATAAAATAGGGAAAAAGTTTCGAACAAAAAATGTATGGCGCACTTTTTGATTGGTCCAGCGGATGCTGAGCTACACTCAAAAAGATTTTGGAGAAATTTTCGAAAAATTAAATTCGCGAGATAATCGTTCAAGAATACCGCCATAGTGATTAGAAGAAATTTCTGAACAAAAAATGTATAGCGCACTTTTTGATTGGTCCAGCGGATGCTGAGCTACACTCAAAAAGATTTTGGAAAAATTTTCGAAAAATTAAATTCGAGAGATAATTGATCGGGAATACCGCCAAATTCTTTAGCAAAAAGTAGCGAACAAAAAATGTATGGCGCACTTTTTGGTTGGTCCAGCGGATGCTGAGCTACACTAGAAAATAAATTCGGAAAAATTTTCGGAAAATTAAATTCGCTAGATAATCGTTCGGGAATACCGCCATAGTGATTAGAAGAAAGTTCTGAACAAAAAATGTATGGCGCACTTTTTGATTGGTCCAGCGGATGCTGAGCTACACTGAAAAAGATTTTGGAAAAATTTTCGAAAAATTAAATTCGCGAGATAATCGTTCGGGAATACCGCTAATAAAATAGGGAAAAAGTTTCGAACAAAAAATGTATGGCGCACTTTTTGATTGGTCCAGCGGATGCTGAGCTACACTAGAAAATAAATTCGGAAAAATTTTCGGAAAATTAAATTCGCTAGATAATCGTTCGGGAATACCGCCATAGTGATTAGAAGAAAGTTCTGAACAAAAAATGTATGGCGCACTTTTTGATTGGTCCAGCGGATGCTGAGCTACACTCAAAAAGATTTTGGAAAAATTTTCGAAAAATTAAATTCGAGAGATAATTGATCGGGAATACCGCCAAATTCTTTAGCAAAAAGTAGCGAACAAAAAATGTATGGCGCACTTTTTGGTTGGTCCAGCGGATGCTGAGCTACACTAGAAAATAAATTCGGAAAAATTTTCGGAAAATTAAATTCGCTAGATAATCGTTCGGGAATACCGCCATAGTGATTAGAAGAAAGTTCTGAACAAAAAATGTATGGCGCACTTTTTGATTGGTCCAGCGGATGCTGAGCTACACTCAAAAAGATTTTGGAAAAATTTTCGAAAAATTAAATTCGCGAGATAATCGTTCGGGAATACCGCTAATAAAATAGGGAAAAAGTTTCGAACAAAAAATGTATGGCGCACTTTTTGATTGGTCCAGCGGATGCTGAGCTACACTCAAAAAGATTTTGGAAAAATTTTCGAAAAATTAAATTCGCGAGATAATCGTTCGGGAATACCGCCAATAAAATAGGGAAAAAGTTTCGAACAAAAAATGTATGGCGCACTTTTTGATTGGTCCAGCGGATGCTGAGCTACACTCAAAAAGATTTTGGAAAAATTTTCGAAAAATTAAATTCGAGAGATAATTGATCGGGAATACCGCCAAATTCTTTAGCAAAAAGTAGCGAACAAAAAATGTATGGCGCACTTTTTGGTTGGTCCAGGGGATGCTGAGCTAAACTAGAAAATAAATTCGGAAAAATTTTCGGAAAATTAAATTCGCGAGATAATCGTTCGGGAATACCGCCATAGTGATTAGAAGAAAGTTCTGAACAAAAAATGTATAGCGCACTTTTTGATTGGTCCAGCGGATGCTGAGCTACACTCAAAAAGATTTTGGAAAAATTTTCGAAAAATAAAATTCGCGAGATAATCGTTCAAGAATACCGCCATAGTGATTAGAAGAAAGTTCTGAACAAAAAATGTATGGCGCACTTTTTGATTGGTCCAGCGGATGCTGAGCTACACTCAAAAAGATTTTGGAAAAATTTTCGAAAAATTAAATTCGAGAGATAATTGATCGGGAATACCGCCAAATTCTTTAGCAAAAAGTAGCGAACAAAAAATGTATGGCGCACTTTTTGGTTGGTCCAGGGGATGCTGAGCTAAACGAGAAAATAAATTCGGAAAAATTTTCGGAAAATTAAATTCGCTAGATAATCGTTCGGGAATACCGCCATAGTGATTAGAAGAAAGTTCTGAACAAAAAATGTATAGCGCACTTTTTGATTGGTCCAGCGGATGCTGAGCTACACTCAAAAAGATTTTGGAAAAATTTTCGAAAAATTAAATTCGAGAGATAATTGATCGGGAATACCGCCAAATTCTTTAGCAAAAAGTAGCGAACAAAACATGTATGGCGCACTTTTTGGTTGGTCCAGGGGATGCTGAGCTAAACTAGAAAATAAATTCGGAAAAATTTTCGGAAACTTAAATTCGCGAGATAATCGTTCGGGAATACCGCCATAGTGATTAGAAGAAAGTTCTGAACAAAAAATGTATAGCGCACTTTTTGATTGGTCCAGCGGATGCTGAGCTACACTCAAAAAGATTTTGGAAAAATTTTCGAAAAATAAAATTCGCGAGATAATCGTTCAAGAATACCGCCATAGTGATTAGAAGAAAGTTCTGAACAAAAAATGTATAGCGCACTTTTTGATTGGTCCAGCGGATGCTGAGCTACACTCAAAAAGATTTTGGAAAAATTTTCGAAAAATTAAATTCGCGAGATAATCGTTCGGGAATACCGCTAATAAAATAGGGAAAAAGTTTCGAACAAAAAATGTATGGCGCACTTTTTGATTGGTCCAGCGGATGCTGAGCTACACTCAAAAAGATTTTGGAAAAATTTTCGAAAAATTAAATTCGAGAGATAATTGATCGGGAATACCGCCAAATTCTTTAGCAAAAAGTAGCGAACAAAAAATGTATGGCGCACTTTTTGATTGGTCCAGCGGATGCTGAGCTACACTAGAAAATAAATTCGGAAAAATTTTCGGAAAATTAAATTCGCTAGATAATCGTTCGGGAATACCGCCATAGTGATTAGAAGAAAGTTCTGAAAAAAAAATGTATGGCGCACTTTTTGATTGGTCCAGCGGATGCTGAGCTACACTCAAAAAGATTTTGGAAAAATTTTCGAAAAATTAAATTCGCGAGATAATCGTTCAGGAATACCGCCAATAAAATAGGGAAAAAGTTTCGAACAAAAAATGTATGGCGCACTTTTTGATTGGTCCAGCGGATGCTGAGCTACACTCAAAAAGATTTTGGAAAAATTTTCGAAAAATTAAATTCGAGAGATAATTGATCGGGAATACCGCCAAATTCTTTAGCAAAAAGTAGCGAACATAAAATGTATGGCGCACTTTTTGGTTGGTCCAGGGGATGCTGAGCTAAACTAGAAAATAAATTCGGAAAAATTTTCGGAAAATTAAATTCGCTAGATAATCGTTCGGGAATACCGCCATAGTGATTAGAAGAAAGTTCTGAACAAAAAATGTATGGCGCACTTTTTGATTGGTCCAGCGGATGCTGAGCTACACTCAAAAAGATTTTGGAAAAATTTTCGAAAAATTAAATTCGCGAGATAATCGTTCGGGAATACCGCCAATAAAATAGGGAAAAAGTTTCGAACAAAAAATGTATGGCGCACTTTTTGATTGGTCCAGCGGATGCTGAGCTACACTCAAAAAGATTTTGGAAAAATTTTCGAAAAATTAAATTCGAGAGATAATTGATCGGGAATACCGCCAAATTCTTTAGCAAAAAGTAGCGAACAAAAAATGTATGGCGCACTTTTTGGTTGGTCCAGGGGATGCTGAGCTAAACTAGAAAATAAATTCGGAAAAATTTTCGGAAAATTAAATTCGCGAGATAATCGTTCGGGAATACCGCCATAGTGATTAGAAGAAAGTTCTGAACAAAAAATGTATAGCGCACTTTTTGATTGGTCCAGCGGATGCTGAGCTACACTCAAA